GACACCTGAGCGAGGTGGCACTGGAGGAGACGCTGTACGGCTGGTGTTGGATGGCAGTGTGCTGTCCGCTCTTGTGATAGACTCACCACGAGCTAGTTGGGAGCCACAGTGAGGGGAGCGTGGCTGAAAGGCTGAGGTGTTAGGTGCAGTCCTGAGATGTGTCCTCCTGTTTCCCCCTCTCCCGCCCAGCCCACACAAGGACACAGTTGTTTTCATCTGATGGCATGAAAGTTTCACCTGGTGTCATCTCACCCGCTCGGCAAGGCACACACCAGCATTATGGGATGGTGTGGTTCAGAAGTTGATATGCATCCTAGGACCATGTATGGTGGTGGGGTTTGAGTGTGTATTTGGTGATCTAAACTTTCAGTTCTCTTGTGGAATGAGAAAGTTTGGCAAAACTGAAAAGGTAAACTCACTCAAGTAAATCTTTTTGAAGCTGGGTCCACTCTCAGAGAATCTTTGGCACTTCTGTTTGATAAATTAAATGTAAGATACCTGGAAGTATTTACTGCATTCCTAAGTAGTCCAGTACTTACTAGATCAGTACCCTTATAACCTAAGTGCAAAATCTTTGAGACAACCTCTGTACCCCTTTGATTTTTGCACATTACCAGCTGGAAGAAAGTGTAGGATGTGAAGTAAGGTTGGGCCGTGGTTTGAAGGGTCTCTCTTCAAACCGAAGGTAAGATTTGCTTAGGTACAGACTTTCACTTTTCTGTAACATATATGGTATAGAAAGTGTTAAGACTGTATTTGTGAAAGTGGATTTTGACAGACCCCAAAATAGACCAGCAGCTGGAGTTTCTCCCCTTCCCTTTTCACATTTTTTGGATTACAAATGGAATAATATCTGCTTCAGTTATTCCTGGCACACAGACACCCACAAAAACACACACACCTTTTAATATATGGTTGCTAGGTTGCTGGCTTGCTTTGACGTACAGTGAGCTGTCTTCCCCTTTCTCCTGTCCCCTCCCCCCTGGACACACTTGATGCAGCACATAACCCAGCTGTACGAAGGATCTAACACTTAGGGGAGACCAGAAGCAGAGTGAGAGAAGTTAGGATAGTTTGTGTATTTGGGTTTAGTGAGGTGGGCGTCCAGTTTGGATTGCCGAAATGAACCTCCACGTTCCAGCTGGAGGCAGAGCGGTTATGGTGAACTTGGCCTACCTATGGAAGAAGTGATTGCTAGAGATAAGGAACAAGTAGAAGCTTTTAACTCAGCTTTAAGCTTCAGGAAACCTACCAGGCAGTGTCACGTCTCTATAAGCAATTTTTCTTTCATTCAAAAACCAAACCTGAGGTTTCTTAGAGGGGTGTCAGCCAGGTATGATGACAAAGCTCAAATGAATTTGTAATAATAACTATCATGTAAAAGACCATTTCCTGCAACGGTAAAAGGTGATTTTCAAGAATGGGTGGGTAGTTAAGATTTACCTTCAGTGTCTTCTGCCTGTATTTAGCATTTTCCTCTCCACATCATAAGGCAAATCTGCCATGGCTATCAGGGATCTTGATGGAAGAGAAAATCCTACAGGGTATCACCTTGTGCTTCTTTCCTTGAGAGGAGAGAATGAAAAGTTAGGGACTTGTTCACAGACTTCTTATGCATCGTGTCTTGGTGGGTATTGTTGGTCTGATAGTCCATTCTTGGGACATAGTTAAAGCAGATAATTTTTAACCAGTACAGAAAGCCATATCCAAATTATATCTAAAACTCCTGGAGGTAGATATATCAGCTTGTTAAATAGCAGGTGTCATCCAGACGTTTCAACACTTCCAGACTGAATGATTTGACATACTGCTATGTCAGGTTTTAACAGCTGAGTTAATTTCAGGTTTGAGACCTGGAGTACCTCTGTCCATGAATATAATTCTCTGGGGCAAGAGGATAAAAGAGTCTGCAGGTAGGGGGAGATATAAGTCTCTTTTTAGATTGCATTTGTTCCATTTGTAAGGATTTTGAAGCCTCTGGTGAAGAAGAACTTTGAAGGGGTGATCCTGCACTGCATTCCTAGCATACTGTATGAGGAATCGGAGGGAATTCTGTGCGTGTAAGGAGTACCTACTTATTGCAAACGACTTTTCTAATATTTAGGGTACAAAGGCTAACTAAAGTAACAACTGAAAATGTCTTAAACTGCTATTGTCAAATGCATGCTTTGTGCTGCATGGTAACATGGGAAAGGCTACCCATGCTGCAGGAGAAAAATGTTGATGCATATATATATATATATATATCTGTCCTATGTCAACTATATTGGACCTGCTAGCAAAAGGAATTTTACAGGAAGTAGTTCCTGCTGCTGCAGACGGGAGAAGTTTCCTGCATGTTAGGACCTTTCCTTCCCTGTGCTGCCTCTTCTGCTGCTCCGCAGGCTGTAGCAGAATTGGATGACCCAACATCATCTCACCATCTACAAAGATTGGTCCCAGTGACTGCGCTAAAGGAAATCTTTCTCATGTCTACTTTCAGTGGCTTCTTATTGAATAATTCACATGTACATGTGAATAATTCACAGTGTTACTGTGCTAACACCTGTGTCTACATATATTATTGCAAGGAACTCCAGAAGTTTGTGTTTAGTATTTTTTTCCTCCCCTGCTATTTTCTAAGTACAGCACTGTATTCTTCAGACTTATCAGTGATTATCAACTTGATTTTGGGTTGTAATGCTTTTTAATGGCTGCACAAAAGGATTTAGAATGTTCGGAGGGTTTTTTCCCCTCCTTAACTCACTGAATTTAAAGTCTGATTTTAAAAACATGGTATAAACAGTTTAATACTTAATGGTATAAAATTTCACTGTAGTTTTTTTTTTCTTTCTTCTTGGAGATAGTGAAGTGAAGGTATTGTAGTCAAGATTATGAAAACTTCTGGGAACAGAATGATAAATGTTGTCCCTTAAAATTCCATATCCATTGTATGTCATTGTATATGGATGAAAAATTAATACTAATCACGTACTAAAAATGTTTGCTGAATTTTCAGGATTTTTGTGCTCTGTGCTTGCTTTATGAGATGACATTATGAAAAAAATCTGTCAAAAAGAAAAATGTAAATCTTGACCTGTTTTGTCAGCATTTCATGTAATGTGAGAGTTATTACAGCTGAAGTCCTCATATTCCTTTATTAAATGTGGTATATAGTTTTAGATGCAATTCTTCTAAAATTAGCCACAGTCATATTGCAGAGATGTAACAAATGCTGTTTTCCTCCTCACTGTTTACATCTACATTTTTAGGATTGCTAAGATACTGGTAAAGAACTTGTCTTCTTTGTGCTTTTCCTTTATCCCCTGACCGACTCATTCCTGTCTGTGTGAATGTGAAAAAGTAGAATGTGAAATTGAAGTTCAGCAGACTGGACTATTAGTTGCTCTTCTTTTTTTTTTCTGGAAATAACAAAAAAATAAAACAAATATTCACAGTGAAGTACATTGTACACATAGTGGCTAAATGTATGTTATACGCTCTGTAGTTCTTTTGATTATATGGATCTTCTACTACTTTTTCTATGCTCTTGAAAGGCATTTCATGCTGAGATTGTCTGGTGCTATGACACCTATTAGTGCAGGATGAAGTGAAATTTGTACCCTTTTGAAGAATGTGACACCGCACCCTGTGTCACTGCTCCTTGGTTCCCCATAGAGTAGTACCCCTTCTGTACCTTATGCCTTCATGTCTCTAGCAGGTAGAATGTGTCCTGTATTGCTGTGCTCCTGTTGGAATGATTTCAGTGTTTTGAAGAGCTTTTCCTCCCCAGGATTTGTATTCATATAAAATGAAATTACATTATAATTAGATAGCAGTTGCTAGCCTGAAATTACAAGTTATAATAGTTTTCTTTGACATTGGTCTACATATTTTGGAAGTTTAATAAATGATGCAGTGCTAGATTTGGTCAGTAGAACCAAGCAACATTCCCATTTGTTTTGAGTAGAAAAATAAAATTGAGATTTTACTGGGTGTACAATATTTGCATAAGTCTACTTTGAAAAGTTAAGAAACCTTACCCAGACTGCTGAAGCCTGAGAAAATTTGTATGTGGGAAAAAGTGTTCCCTAAAAGAAGCAGCATTTCTACTAAGCTGGCTCTTGTAGAGCTAGGCTCACTAATTTCATAGCAATACCTGCATAAATGTCCTTTCCAAATAAAATCAAAGAAACAAACTCAAACCAAAGCATTATATATTGAGAAAAATATGAGAGCACATTGGAGGGTGCGTGTGGATGCATAACACAGGAGAGCCCTTCGTTTAAATCTGTATGTGGAAACTTCACCTTGACTGTCTTGAGGATGGGCTGAGCAGGAGTGTGTGAACAACTGGAAGGCTCAGAGGATTAGCAGTGGACTGTAATGCGTTTTGCTTGTTGGTCACATGCGCAGCCTGGCTGAAGGCACCGAATTATTCCTGTCTCGTGGCTATCAAGTGGTCTGCATGTAATTACTCTGCGAGCATCCCACCAGACAAGTTGCCAGTTGAGAGGTGGACATGGTGGAGAGGTCAAGGACCAAAGAAAAGATACTCACAGTTCTTTATGTAGATGGTGTTTCTACAAGCAAATAAAGGCACTGGTATGGAGAGGTGTGTGTTGCTGTTTTCCCATGCTGTGAAGAGGAAGATGCTTTCTGCTCTCTGGAGCTCATAATGGATTTAACATTTTATAAACATGTGCTAAAATGGGCTATGCATGCAGGAAATAAAACGTATGGACAGGGATTTAAGCTGTAAACCAAACAATCTTGGCCAAAATGTTATTTTGATCCAGCATCATACTTATTTGCAAGGCTATGCAACACATACATTTAAGGAGAAAATATGCACTCAGAAAGAATTTGCAACTCTTACAGATTTGCAAACCTGTCAGTGCTGGTTGGAAACCATTAGATTTCACTTTTTTTTTTTTTCCAGTTTACCGCAATAGAAGAAATGTAGAAGAAATGTCTGTAATTTGGAACGAAAAGCTTTTAAATAACAGTGATCTATGTATGTAGTTTTGATGCAGTGAGATTTCTGAATGCAGAATGAGGGCACTTTACAGCCCTAGAGACAGAAATGCTGAAAATTGAGAGACCTCTAGTCCTAAGTATAATCTCTGCAGGGACAGGAGCTAATGATTATAATTAAAAAGCAATAATAGTCCATGTCTGTCCTGTATTATTGCAAGAAGGTGGGTTGTGAATCTTAGTCATCGAGTGTCATTCCAGGGACAGATCCTAAAAAGAGTCAGTAATCTGTAGTCAGCAG